TGCGGCTGGCCCGCCCTCTTCTCTTCCCAGGATCTGCGGGCCGTCCATCAGCAGCTGAGCTCGGTGAACTCCGAGCTGGAGCCCTGCCTGCCCGTCCTTCCCGAGGAGCCGTCGGGGATGTGGACGGTGCTCTTCGGGACTCCAGAGCTGTCCGAGGAGGAGATGGATGTGCTGTGCTATCAGCTGCAGGTATACTTGGGCCACTGCCTCGATACGTGCGGCTGGAAGATCCTCTCTCAGGTGCTCTTCACCGAAACCGACGACCCGGAGGAATATTACGAGAGTCTGAGCGAGCTGCGGCAGAAGGGCTACGAGGAGGTATTGCAAAGGGCCCGTAAGCGCATTCAGGAGGTGAGCGGTGTCCCCCGCATACATAGGGGCGGGGGAAGACTCCTCTTCAGGCTAATACATTCTGTCTTGCCCAAGTCATTCGTGAAACTTAGTCCCAAAACAAATTTCCTGAGATTTGGCTTTCAGTTGTTTTCTTTTCTTTTTGTTTTGCTCTTAACATACTGTAGTTCCAAGCAAATGCTTCTGCTTAGGGAAAACAAAATCCTGGAAAACTATAGCTAGTTGGTAAGTGTTCTGAACATTTGCTTGAAATGTTTCTTAGTAAATCCTCAAAGATGCAAATTCTGAATTGAGATGCCTGTATACCTAAATGTAACTAAAATGAACCTTTTTAAGGGGGATGTACATATTTCTGTTTCATTTATTTATTTACTATTAAATTTCTAGGTCTCCCAACTCCCAACAAATCTAGGTGACTCGCAAGTAAAAACATTAAGTAGTGACTTGGTTAATGTGTTGGACTGGCACTGGGATGGCTAAGTTTCAGATTCCCCCTCAGCCATGAAAGCTGATTGGGTGACTTTTGGTCAGTTATTCTCTCAATTTACCTCACAGAATTGTTGTTGTGGGGGGAAATTGGATACTATGTATTGACTGGAGGAAAAGCATCCACAAGAGGAGTTTTAAAAAAGGCAATATGGCAGTATTTTGATGCATGCACAAAAGGGGCGGGGCTTCAATAACAATCATATTTATTTATTTATTTATTTATTTATTATTTAAAGACTTATACAACTGACCATCTTATATAAAATATCCCTGAGTGGCTCACAACAAGATCAGTAAAATAAAACAAAAAAGATGAAACAGCAATGCACTACATCATCATGGTTGCCATCTTGACTTTTTTGACTCCCCTGTGGATGGGGAACTATAAATCTAGCCAACAAGCAAATAAGTGGTGTTTATTTTCTGCCAAATTTGATTTTGAAGTTGGCATATTTGTAAGATTTAGGCACTTCTCCCAATAGTGGGATCTCAGCTGTAATAAAATTAGTCACCGCTGAGGTTTTATTAGATGGAAATTTAGACTAGTATTCTTTTTTTAATTTGTTTATAATTCATGGTAGGTATACAGAATGAAAGCTGGGCAGGACTATATTTGTTAGAAGCACCAATATGCGAAAAAAGACTTGATTGCTTTAGTTATTTCCTTATAGGAGGATAACATTTTATTCTAGAAAGATAAGAATTATTGAACAGTGTAAAATGGAATGTTTCAGAAAAGGACTACTGTAATGTTTTATCCAAATGATTTAGTCACTATTTGATTTTTGTTATATTTGTATATAAATGTCAGAGTCTTTGTAGTTGTATTCTAATCAGGAGATACATACATACATACATACATACATACATACATACATACATACATACATACATACATACATACATACATACATACATACATACATACATACATACATACATACATACATACATACATACATACATACATACATACATACATACATACATACATACATACATACATACATACATACATACATACATACATACATACATACATACATACATACATACATACATACATACATACATACATACATACATACATACATATATATTAAAATGAGGTGATAATACATATCTTTAATAACTTACCAGGTATTTTAAGTATCCTAGGTGTTAAAATGTTTCTCATATGAAACTGAGACATAAGATACATTTTGTTAAAGTGGCTTCAGTTTTATTTGGATGTGATTCTAGAGATATTGCCTGTCCCAGCATTGTTCTGCTGATTGTCTGGGTTTACTGTATATGGTAAATGAATGCATTGTCTGATGTCAGTATCTCTGTTAGTGCATTCTGTGTAACTGACTCATATTTAATTAAAAGGTGCATCATATTTAAGAAAGGATAACTTACTTTCTTTCTCAGGTTTCTACTGTCTATTACCTGCTTGTCAGTGGCTTTCTTGAAACAAGAAGCTCATAGCTCACTTGGTTAAATTATTCCATTATAATGAAGCAACAGATGACAGGCATTTAATATTAATGTGTAATCTGAATATAGTGGTTTTCTACACTTCAGGTTAGGATTCAGTTATCTCCTGAAACGTGAGACAATTAAGCTCATGCACTATATTTCATTCATACTTTCTTTTGCCTTACTTTTGCTGTCTGTCCTAGAAAGTGGCTTTAAAGGAGTTAGAGACATTGAGCGAAGATACTGGATTCTTACAGTTCTCTAATTAAAAACCCATAGAAAAATGTGATTTCAGTTTTAGAGAGGATATTAGCAACTTGAGATGGTTATAAATTTCCTAGCATACTTTAATATACACTTTTATTAAAATTCTTCCTGATTATCAGATTCAGTTGAATGACTCAACTCTTTGGATGAAATGAGAAGCCAGGTGTGTAATTAGATTCCTTTTATTTAGAGTTACATTGCCAATCTTTTGTTTAGTCAAATATTCTGGTTGGACTATGCAACACATAGCTCAAGTTCAGACCTGATTGGAACTTTATGCTAAAATTTAAAACTTTCTGCATTTCTACAATAATTTTGAAAAGAAAATGTTGGAATTCTAAAAGTGCCTCTGTTGTGAAATTATATTCACTTAATGTTTAAAATTGAAAATAGAAGGATATTGATAACCTAATTTACTTTAAAAGATAATATAAAAAGTTAGGTGAAATGTCACTCATCATACAGAATTTATCTCTTCCATAGTGGGTACATGCTATCATGTAGAGTTTTCTAATCTCTATTCCATATTCTGTTTTCATTCAGATTACATTTTCTACATTGCTAAATAATATGATTCTTTTACTTTGTAACATAAACTGAAATGTTTGAAGTTTCAGTTTTTATTTCCTTCTAAATTACAGGGTTTCTTTTTTTCTTTTTACTACACAGCCTGATAGGCAAACAAAGAAATGGTGCTTAAGTATTTGACTTTGTGTTGTTGGAAAATTGTATGGGTTATTACTGAAAATTATAAAAACTTCAAATTGTTTATTTTACATAGGAAGAAAAATATTGCTTTATCGTTTATAACAGTTTTAACACTTAGAAATACCAGTCCCACAGACATAAATATAGACAATCTGATTTAACTATGTATAAATCACAAATGGAAGACCCGGTGGGAAAGCTACTGAGTGTCAGTGTGGCATAGTGATTAAATTGCTGTACTAGGACGCAGAGACTCAGATTCAAGTCCACCCTCAAATGTGGAAACTCAGTAGCTAACTTTGAGCCAGTCAGTCTCCCTCATCCTTGCTTCCCTTAAAGGGGTAGTTGTTGTGGAGTTAAAATGAAGAGAGATGAGGCTGCCTTGTGCTCCTAGGAAAAAGGCAGGATATAAATTTAATAAACAATAGGGAAAATTTTAAAGAAAAGTTTATATTTAATAATTTCTGCATAATAGTATGATGGACTGTATGTATACTCATCATACTAGTCCCTTTCAGGGTAAAAAATGTTATGTTGATTGTAGAAAATGAATAAAATTGGTGAAAAAAACTTAGAGGTATAAGAAAAAGAAATATAACTAAATCTATTTTACACCAATACCATTCACAGTTATTCTCCATACCTTTCTATCCTTGAAAACTACCCTCTCATCCATACACCAATTAATATGTTGCATTTTTTTTCTTAAACTGTTCATCTCTCTCTGAGGTTCTCATCAGTGACTTTCTTGGCCTTTTCCTTCCTGTCATCCTAACCACTCTTCCTCTGTTATGTTTGTTTTATGATTCAGTCTTCATGCATTCTCTCTATATGATCAAATCACATTAACTTCTTTTGTGCTACTCACTCAACTTTTCACCTTTACTCAACATCCATTTGGTCTTGACCCTACCTCTTCTTGCTTTACTGCTTATACTTCTTATTAACTCATTCCCATTGCATTCAACTTTTATGCTTCTCCTAGTATACCCAGTTCTCACTTCCACATAACAAAATAGGCAGAAGCATACTTCATTATTGACTCTATCTCTTCTTGTCTTATTTTGCATACTTCATAAGTAACGCATTGCCAGTGCGTTTCAGGCTTCTCCTGACAACCAATTCTCACTTCCATGCTGCTTTACATAGCTATTTTCACTATTTTTGGCAAATATTCATTCCTTGAAACAGACCACATGCTATCACTACTTTTCTATTAGCATTTGCACATCTTAGAATTTCTCCATTCATTTTTTTATCTTCAGTAAATATTCTATCAAGGTATATACATTTATCTACTTCTAGTTTTTCTCCACATGTATAATTTGGAATTGTCTACTCCATTTTTTTCTGTCACACACTGCCTTGGCCTTTGATATACTAATTTTCACATCCATAATTGTGTCATTATTAATATTTGTTGCAAATCATTAGGTTGTGAGCCAGCAACACATCATTTGCATATAAAGTACATCCACATTCATATCCCCAGCCAACATGCCTCTGTTATCACCAAAAGCATTTCTTAATACATTTGTCCATGCATATATTAAACAACCAAGGTGATACCACACATCCTTGTCTTGCTCCCTGCATAGTACTGAATCATTCACTAAGCCTTCAGTTTATTTGCATGCTTGATTTACTTCTGCCATTTACTGTTCTTATCCCATTCAGCTACCAACCTTCAGTTCCATATTCTCATGAACTATTCTGTATTTCAAGTTTATGCTTTCTTTAAATCAATGTACAATAAACTTTCTCACATTTATCAGTGACCTACTGAAAAGAAAAGATCAGGTCTGCACATACTCCACCCTGCATAAAACTGCACTGTACTTCCCAAATTGTGCTCACTGTCCCCTTCCAAAATTCTACCAAATACCTTTCCAGGTACACTTATGAAATTGTTTCCTCTGTACTATTTTCTGCTCATTCTTGCTATCTTGCTGCATGATGGCATTCTTCCATTTGTCAGGCAGTCTTCACACAGACATTAAACAAGTCACATAGACACTCAATAATCAAACAACATCCATATTTTAATATTTCTCCAGTTATACCAACATACTGGC